GATCAACAATGAAACAATATTAACATGGACGACTTTTAAGTGTGGAGTTACTGTATTGGAACTGTGAAGACTTGTATGATAAATGTATATGGGCACTCCATTATGTTGTTAGATTTGGAGAATCTTATACGTTAACAGTATATATAGCAATGAATAACATTTGTGAAGTGTAATGCTTTTGATCCACAATCCTCAGGACTTGAAACAAATACATAAAAAGAAAACACGTAGTGGGGAAAATATATCACAATTATTGAATGAACTGTTGGAACATAATTACATTTCCTCACTGGGCCCCTTCCAAAAGATAATGCTACGTCTCACAACCAGAACATTGTTTGTGCTTTTCTTCCTTGGTCAACTGTGTGCATCAAATGGCAATGGAGTTGATACATGTTTTAAAAGAAATAAACTTCAATTTGTTGCAGACATCATTAAAGTGACCTCTTACTCTTGATATTTCAGTCCTTCCTGCCTAGTCCCACCCTGCTGTTTCATTGCCCTCTTCTCCACCAATTTGTAGCATAATTGTTGTGAGCTTTTCAGGGCATGTACCTTATCTTTTGTGCATAGTGTGTGGCACTCAGCAGAGATTTTCAAATGGTGTAAAATAATAATGGAAATCCAGAAACGGCCATGAATACATCCAGTGGAGAACTGATGTGCAGACTAAGGCTATGTCTACACTACCGCGGTAAGTTGACCTAAGATTCACATAGCTGGAGTTGCGTAAAATGTATCTGGAGTTGACTTACTGTAGGTCGACTTACTGGGGTGTCTACGCCGCACTGGGTTGATGGGAGACACTCTCCTGTTGACTTACCTTACTCTTCTCATTCTGGGTGGAGTACAGGTGTCAACAGGAGAGCACTGTGCTGTTGATTTAACGGGTCTTCACTAGACCCGCTAAATCGACCCCCGGTGCATCGATAGCCAGAGCGTCGATCTGGAGGTAATGTAGACATAGCCTGAGAAATAACAAAATGTCTTTTCAAATATTTGAAGTCTTTGGGTAGATTAAAAAACAAACAAACAAAATATCTAGCCATGGTAAAAATAGAATTCCTTTCTTCGTACTTCTATTCTGTCATTCTGGAATCTGAGTTCATGCTTTTTTGATAGTTGCAGGCAGTTCCACCTCTAACTGATTTCTAGGTTTTTGACAGCCAGCATAGCCTACATTAGAATCAACACGCACTTGCTCATGTTCTCAACTACAGACTACCTTGCTATGAGACAGCAGCGCCTGCCACTGTGGTGGCAGAAGTGATATAGCAATTCATTGGGGGGCTGCAGTGACTGTGGAGTAGACCTTAGCCATTGTATGGCAGGCCTATTTTGTTCTGTTTGCCTCATGGGACTTTCACCCTCTTCCTTGGGGGGTAGGATGGGAGCAGACAGGACACTAACGCTCAGTGCCCTCCCCCCACCACTCTGATTTCGCCAGGCAGATATCTTCCTTCCCTCTGATTCTTGGGATTCTGGGGAAATTCTGGGGACAAGGAGGTTCTCATTCACTTCAGAATGGTCCTGCTAGTTGTGCTGTTCAGACAGATGACCCTCTTATTCAGAGATCCTGTTCTCCTTTTTCTTACCCAATCTCTCTTATTCAAGGCCTAATGTATTGCCAAATTTCCCCCCACCCCCTAAAAAAACAAACAACCAAAAAAACCAATCTCCATAAAAGGTCTGGTTTAAAAAAGAGAGCTCCTGGCTAAACAGCACTTGTCAGACCAGGTAGTCTCCACTTACAGAAATAATGTTGAGGGCCACATTTTCAGCCAGACTGCGAATTCACCCTATGCCAGTTATGCAACTAGAGATGTCAAGACAATTTGTTCACATAAAGGTCTGTTTTCATGCAGGTTGGTCCTGGGATGCAAATTTCAGAGACCAGTTTTGAAAGTTTAGCCCAAAATGTTTGCAGCCACACAATTATGTAGAAAGAACGAGGAGTACTTGTGGCACCTTAGAGACTAACAAATTTATTTGAGAATAAGCTTTCATGGGCTAAAACCCACTTCATCAGATACATGCAGTGGAAAATACAGTAGAAAGATTATATACACACACACACACACACACACAACATGAAAAAAATGGGTGTTGCCATACCCACTATACCGAGAGTGATCAGTTAAGGTGAGCTATTATCAGCAGGAGGAAAAACAAAACAAAACAAAAAACCTTTTGTAGTGATAATCAGGATGGCCCATTTCCAACAGTTGACAAGAAGGTGTGAGTAACATAGGGGAAAAAAATAAACATGGGGAAATAGTTTTACTTTGTGTAATGACCCATCCACTCCCAGTCTTTATTCAAGCCTAATTTAATGGTGTCAAGTTTGCAAATTAATTCCAATTCAGTAGTTTCTCATTGGAGTCTGTTTTTGAAGTTTTTGTTGTTGTAATATTGCGACTTTTAGGTCTGTAATCGAGTGACCAGGGAGATTGAAGTGTTCTCCGACTGGTTTTTGAACGTTATAATTCTTGACGTCTGATTTGTGTCCATTTATTCTTTTACGTAGAGACTGTCCCCCTACTGTTACTCACACCTTCTTGTCAACTGTTGGAAATGGGCCATCCTGATTATCATTACAAACGGTGTTTTTTTTTTTCTCCTGCTGATAATAGCCCACCTTAACTTATCACTCTCGGTATAGTGGGTATGGCAACACACATTTTTTCATGGTGTGTGTGTGTGTGTGTGTGTGTGTATGTATATATGTGTGTGTGTGTGTGTGTGTGTGTATGTATATATGTGTGTATATATATATATAAAATCTTCCTACTGTATTTTCCACTGCATGCATCCGATGCAGTGGGTTTTAGCCCACGAAACTTATGCTCAAATACATTTGTTAGTCTCTAAGGTGCCACAAGTACTCCTTTTTGCTGATACAGACTAACACGGCTACCACTCTGAAACCTGTCACAATTATGTAGCAGTCTTATATGCTTGGGGGGGGAAGGGGGGGAATCTTCCAAATGAATTGGCATGCCCCATCAGTCTTAGCAGGGTTTCAGCTTTTACCTCTAGCAGTGGCATAGTAACCTGTAGACGTTTTTGTCTTCAGTTGAAGCCATGTCATGCTTCTGTCATTGGTTACAGAGCGCATCCTTTTGTTTAGCTGGTGAGGCAAATCCAAGCTCTCTAAATGACTGAACTTGTCAAGAGTCTTACCTCACACTTATTTTTAGATGTAGATGTTTCAGCATATACCAGCGTACTCAGTAATTCCTCTTGGGTGAAAATTAGATTAAAAGCTTCCGGTGTGCTCCGTTTAAACACTCTTCAAAGTCAGCTTACACAGAACCCTACTGAACAGATGGCCTACCTACTACCACTTTGCTCCAGCTTTACCTGGGATTGATTTATTTTGGTCTGTTGCTTAGGTTGGTAGCACCTACGCTTGTAAATACAGTGGCATTTCCCTTGACATAATCCTGTTAGTTTCTTTTGCTGCAGGTGACTCCCAAGCTGCTTGTTTTCACTATGTCCCAATGCAGTAGGTCTGATCCCCTTTCTCTCCTGCTTCTTTTTTCTTTCTTTCGTTCTTGCCCTCCTTGTTATCTATTTTAAATTCCTTTCTGCTTTTATTCACGTTTTCCCCTCCTTATAGTCCAAATCACTCCCTGCACCTATGGTCTGTTGGGCAAGGGCTGCCTCCATGAGCTTGGATTATGAGCTCTATGCTTAAGATACTTCTACAGCTGCATTATTGGCAATCTCTGGAGTATGGAAGGAGAGTGAGCAACTTTCAAGAAGCTACCTTCACCTAGTTCTTTACTGGAGTGTGTTTGCAGTGGGGGAGAATAGATCCAGGATCATAAGGCTTTCCCCAAGCCCACTGCTCCCCAAACTCTGTCACTTTGGGATTGTTTGGCATCCTACCTACTGTTTTGAACAAACTTTATTAGGAAGAACACCTTAGTTCAGCATGCCGATAAGAAGGATCCCATGAAATGGATAGAATGACTATTAATTTATTATGTGTTCATTGAACACCTTTATTGTGTTCAGAGATCAAAAGTGCACAGTGGCACACAGTCACTGACCCAGGAGCTTACATACTGAACTAGATGGATGATAAAACAGTTGAGACTCACAATGGACAACCAGGGAAAGGTGTGGTCTTGAAATCATGTATAGTATTCCACCTTTTCAGAAAGGTATGATCAAGTAAATACTTTCAGAACTGTATTTTAAGGAGGAATTTGAATACAAGGGAATGATTGACAAATGCACAAGAGGGTGCTTCTTCCGAGTGTAGGGGACAGCATATCAGAAAGTGAAGTAAATGGGCTACCAAAGGGGTGGTTTAAAGCAAGAATTTGGTGAAACAAACAGAGCAATTGTAACTGCCACCTACTTGCAGGTTTTTAACAAAATTTTTTTTTCCTTTGTGTGACTCATAACAATAATGTTCCTTCTGCTGACTCTGCAGCAGCAGTTACACCAGAATTGCTACCTGGGATAATTGATGTTAATGGACAAAATAGTCCAACATGGTATGAAAGCTTTAGACAAGTTGAACTTTTTTTAAAAAAGCATAAAGGATAGAATAAATCTTCCTTCATCTTTTACTCAATCTTGGTGTGCAGTTGAATAAAGAGTGTTCTGGAAGTCTGGCATCCTCGGCAGTGCATTATTTTATATAATGTACAGTAGTGGTGATGTGTGTGCCTGAGGAGGAGTAGAGGGAAAGGACTGTAAATAGCTTCACTTCTCATGGCATTCCTTCTGCGCTATGTATGCGGAGTGCTCTCACAATGAATTTTTTTGGGGTATTAATAATTTGTGTGTTCTGAGATACATCACTTGTTTTTCTTATAAATAGTATTTCTCCTAAACATAGAGGTTAAAATATTAAATCATCTTTTGGAGAATTGACAGTTTTTTTTGTTTAAATAAAATTATACAAATCATACTATTTGTTATATTTTTTAAATATCAGAAGATTTGATTATGATTCAATGTGTATCATCTTTTCATTCCAGGGAATTGTGGGGAATTTAGCTAGTGGCAAGTCTGCACTTGTTCACCGGTATCTGACTGGCACATATGTCCAGGAGGAATCACCTGAAGGTAAGTGGATATGCGGATGATTAAAAGCATGCTGATTTTAGTTTTTGCTTTCATGCAATGCACTGTTAATCGCTGTTTTTATATATCATACAGAAATAGTACAGTAAAAAAAAATTATCATTGGTTGCTGTGCAATGTTGGTAAAAAATAAAGTATGTTTCCTTTTAACATTTGTCATAGTGGAGATAAGTAGCAGCAACGAGAACAATTGTATACCTCTTTTTTTGTAATATCTTAACATTTTTAAATTCTTTCCCATGAAGTATTTGTGCATGTGGGAAATGTTCTTAATCTCAGTTTCATAAATGCAAACACTACCCAATGTAGCACTTACTACTATGAGTACTTCCATTAATTCCAATTATCTGCTGAAGGCAATAACTACTACTCTTGGTATTGATATTTACAGGATTGGGCCCTTCAGTTTGTTGTACCAGAGACAGTAAAGATTTTCAAATAAAACTTGTGTGTTATGAATTTGCTCCATTATTTTTTAGAACACTAATTTTTGGGCCTGGAGAAGAACAATTTTTTTTTCAATTCTAGTTTTATGCTACAGTTTAATATGTAGTTCAAAACTTTCATTGTATTTGTTATTTTAATTTAAGCGTAGTCACTTTTACGGTTTGAGTTCATGTATATCATCGTAGCACATAATTGAGGTATATTTTTCACTAAAAATATTTTCTTGATTTTTATTTATTCTCCTTATGAACTTTAAATCCAACTCTGAGACACTGAATTTCTGGTTCCTTCTTTTCCTTACTGGCTGTTCCATTCTTTGCAGATATGGATGCAGGTAACTATTCATTCTCTTCATGGCAGTGCTTGTCTTGTTTTGAAGAGGGAGGAGGCACAGCTTTTGTACTGTAGTGTTTTCCCCTTGTTTTGTGTATCATCTTAATTTTGTTTTTCTTTTGATTTTTCTTAAATTTTAAGCACATCTCTCTCTGTCTTGTCCCTTTCTGTAGATGTCTTTTTAGCAGTAGTCATATGTAGTTTCATGTGTCTACTGTACCACCTGTTTCAAATTAATGCTTGCCGTAGGAGGTTATACAGTTCAGAGTGTTAGAACATAGTATTCTTGAGATTTTAACTAGTCTTGGTAGTTAAAAATCTGTGTGAGGCTTCACTGTGGAGTCAGCCATTTTCATGGGCAAATGCAATAGCGGTGCAAACATTTTCTAGATTTTATTACTTCGCATAAAAGAGACTTAGGTCGCTTCTCTACTATTGATAGAGGTGACGTTTGAGGACCATTGCAAAAGGAGTGATAGTTGGATTTGTACCTTAATGCTCAGAAATCCTCTACTGGAATGTTGGAAAAGGTGTTGGAAAGTCACTACCTAGTACTGCCGCTTCAAGCGGCTATCAATAATGAGAAACAAATAAAGATAAATGGTGGGTAAGTCCCGAAACTGAGAGAGCTTCACAATGAAAAGAGCATAATCAGTATCTCCACTGATTTTTATTTATTTATTTATTACTCTCATGAGCAGAAGATGATAAATATTTGATTAGTTCTTTCAGGAGACAAACTTGTTTCTGTTCTGTAGAATTTTAATGGCACTCTTTCCCCTAAACCTGGAATATTTAATTTTTCTTGATTCTGTGATTTGTTGCTCTGTTCTGAGCGTATTCCCATCTGTCCTCTTTGTCTTTAGGGATAGTTATTTACTGTACTTGAAAGTGACATTTAGGCTGTTTTCATGGACAGGATTAGATCACCAGAGCAGAGTCGGATCATTTCTTTGCACATAAATGTAGCTGACAGGCCTTACTAATGGCACCATGCATTTTCATTAACAGGTAAAACTGGAACAATTAAAAGCCATAATTCACCTTGTAAACGATAGGGTTAGGCTGTCCGATGAAATCAGTACGTAGGAATTTAATTAACTTTGACAACCTGTCGTTAGTAAACATCATCTTTGGAAATAGCTCTAGCCCCACATAATTTGTGACAGTAATAGTTTATCCTCTCCCCATATTCTCGTGTGAAAACACCCTGTCAGTCTGGGTCCACACTGGCAGTTTGAGTGAATCTGGGCAAAGAAAGGAGCTTGTTGCTCCAAGTTCCACATTGGGATTTAGATCCAAGCTCTGTGCATAATCGTATAAGGGATTCGGCTGAACTGTTAGCAGTAACCTTCAGATTAGATGCTAATGTGAGGTGTTGCCTTTGCCCCTTGCTGATGACTGAAAAAGAATTAAAAGAGTAGAACATATCTGAGATGTTGCGGCCTATGCTACTTCTCAAAATAAAACAGGTTCGTATGTCAGTGCTATTTGTGAGCTGTTGGTGAGTGCATGCTGGGTGGCATGTTAATTTACTCAGCAGCTGTACTACCAGTATCTAACTGTAATGTACTTGGGATATGAAAGGCACCAGATACAGCCCCACACTATTTTTGTTCCCTTTATCATTTGTGTCCCAAATTGCTGCCACTTCAATAAACCTCACCTTCTGGCATGGGTTGGCTAAGTGCCAGACCTCCTCTATGGCTTTCGAATGTTTCTCACCATGCCAGCAACTGTTTCTAGTGAGCGTTTAAGCATCAGGATGGGCAATGTCTGTTTTCCTTCCACTTTCTTTGAGCCCAAGTGTTTCTTCCCCCCAAAAATACACTTGAACTACATCAGCATATGGTGCAAAAAAACCTTTTCTCATCACTTATCTGGCAACTCTTTGGATTTTTAATTCTAAGTGAAAATTATCAATTGAAAGCTGATCTATTTCCTTCAGTAACAATCCAGGAAATAATACATGTTATAGCAGGCTTTAATTCATTATACCAACCTCCCACTATGCACATATGCATACCCAGTGGAACAAGCATTTTCATTAGGGAGGTATTTTGGTGTCTGACTTCAGAGAAAATAGATGTCTGAAACAACCTTGAAGCCAGAGTAGTCTGTGAGATTTGCAGTTACATCATGCTGATGTAGAAACAGGGAGCTGATTAAATATAGAAGACCTATTGAAGTTGTCTGCCTTCTCATAGTAAAACAGGGAACGATTAGAAAAGCAGCCACCAATCAGCAACTTTTATTGTGCAAGTGCAAGACATGTAGTTGAGCTGTGAATATGTCACATTCAAACTGTCATCTTCACACCTACATTTAAAGAGTAGTTCTGGTTTCTTGAGAGGGGCGAACTGGAAACTGTTCTCCGTCGCCAAACTTGTCCTCTAACGATTATCTGTGGGCATGTGTACACTTCAATTAAAAACCCATGGCTGGCCCGTGCCAGCTGACTTGGGTTAGCAGGGCTCTGGCTAAGGGGCTGTTTAAGCTCCAGCACCCTTCCACCTCGCAGTGGTCCTAGAGCCTGGGCTCCAGCCCGAGCCCAAATATCTACACTGCAGTTAAACAGCCCCTTAGACTGAGTCAGCTGGCATGGGCCAGCTGCGGGGTTCTAATTGCAGTGTAGACATAGCATAGAATATCAGGGTTGGAAGGGATCTCAGGAGGTCATCTAGTCCAACCCCCTGCTCAAAGCAGGACCAATCCCCAAACAGATTTTTGCCCCAGATCCCTAAATAGCCCCCTCAAGGATTGAACTCATAACCCTGGGTTTAGCAGGCCAATGCTCAAACCACTGAGCTATCCCTCACCCCGTGGTTGGATTAGTAAAAAGTTAATTCCATGGATGGTGTTTTTCTGCACACATGAACTTTTTGATACTGCTCTTGTGTGGTGCATTCCATTCTGATGATGACACTGTGCAGTTCTACGTCCCCTTCCATTTGAGAATATTAAAATGTTTTGCAAACATGAATGAATTAAGCCTTGAAACACCAGTGTGAGGCTGGTACTGTTGCCATTTTATAGAAAAAGAAACCGAGGCACGGAGCAGATACATGACTTGACTTAACCAAGGTGTCACATACAAGAATAAAATCCAATCTCCTTACTTGTGTCGTGGCGATTTAGAGAGGTTTTGTCTGTTTCAGCTTCCTTTTGAAGCTTCAAGCAAGTTAAATGGAAAGCATAATAAAATACTTCTCCTATCCAGGAAACAGCAGTCAGCATGGGGAGAAACCCAGTACACAGAGTAAACCTGGGCAGTGTGGGAGGGTAAAGCAGGCAGCTGAGAGAAGATAAACAACGAATGTGAGGTGCTCAGTCTGCCCAGGGCATTTTCTAGGGATTGGAGGAGGGAAAGGAAGTAATAAGGAACTGTTATCTGGTTCCCTCTTTTTGGACACAGGAAAGTGTAAGAGCTGGTGCTGAGAGGGAAGCAGGTCTCCTGCTGGAGGGATTAGAGACAGGATGAAAGATAGCACCAGGTTATAGCTGGCTACCCATTTTTTTTTTATTCAATATTAGAACACAAACACAATGGCAACTTCAAACGCTGTTGTATATTTAAAGATATACAGACTTATATAAAGCTATTGAAGATAGTAAATTCTTACAAGATATGCGGATACTTAAAATTACCAATACGTGGACATTAGAAAAACCATCCTTTACTTAACCGCAAAGATTGGAGGTCAGAGTTCTTTTCCTCTCTTTGAACAGCTGATATCTTCCAGCAGCTCCTGCTCTGCTTTAATGGTATGAGATTATACACAGCTGTAGTGGGACAGGAGCCTGAGTGGCTGCCTATGATTAAGGAAATTTGCACAAACTATGAAATTCTATTTAAAACGCTAGTGTTTGAAATGTTTTTTAAAGATTGGGGGGAAAAAAGTCCGTAAAAGCAATAAAAACCCTCCTCCTCCTTGATTTGAAGTGAACAAACATAGCACCCATTCTTGCAACTGATTCATTTAGGCAAGTACCTGATGAGGTCAGCAGGGCTCTGTATGAGCACAGGAGTGCCCCTATGTGGGACAGTTTACAGGACTGGGGCTGTAGTGTGGATCGAAATGTGGCACAACACCCATCCCCCACCCTTTACACTTCTACTCCTGCTTAAATCTTTAATGTGACGTGCTGGAGAAATAACCTGCTATTCTGAAACTTTTAAATGGGGCATGGTTTTTCTTTTTCAGGATAAGGATTTTGTCTATGTTGTCTAGTGTCTCCAAAGCTGGACAGGGCATGTCGTGTCAGATTATTCAGCTTCCCAGTGGTTTTTTGTCCCCATCATTGTCTCCTTTTACAGATTATTGAAGTATTTCATCTTTGTGTATTTGCTTTGGTTTCAGGCACCTTTCTAGAAAAGATTCACATGGTATCAGGTTTTATTCCCCTTGTCTCAAGGTTTCTCCAGACTTGGTAAAAAAGTGTAGATTTCAGCTTGTGGTAAACTTGAATAAAGAATGGTTTTTTAGTGCAGGTTGGCCATAGGAAGTGTGAAACTGTTACTTTTTTATGCATTGATGCTATTACCCATCATATGAATTTTACTCTTAGTTTTGTATCAGAGGGTAGCCGTGTTAGTCTGGATCTGTAAAAAGCAACAGAGAGTCCTGTGGCACCTTTAAGACTAACAGATGTATTGGAACATAAGCTTTCGTGGGTATTCTGACGAAGTGGGTATTCGCATGCGTCTGACGAAATGGGTATTCACCCACGAAAGCTTATGCTCCAATACATCTGTTAGTCTTAAAGGTGCCACAGGACTTTCTGTTGCTTGTTACTCTTAGTTTTGTTCTTTTGTTGTGTGTTGTCCAAGCTATGGCCTCTAGTGCCTATTTATTTTTACATATCTTACAGTTTTGACAGGAGATAATTCTGTGCAAGAAAGAGTGGGAGTAAATGTTCCTTTTAGAATTTCAACCACTTCTGTGGTTTAACTTTCCCCTGACATTCCTTTCGTTTGGTCATAAACTCATAATAAAGTAG